GAATGTATATATGATTAATCCGCAGAGACACCTCGGCGGCGCTCGATTCTTCTCCGCAACCCCTCTCTGTCACATCGTCCGCGCTAACCATTGTGGCTCTACTTCGAGGGATGGCGATATCGGTAAACTCGTGATTTACGATCATTCTGAATCTTCTTATGGGATCAGAACTTTGGAGAAGACGGTGCCAATGGAATTGATGACAGAAACGGGAACTATAGGAGCATCTCAAGGCTGGGTAGCGACTTTGAAAGACGGTGTTGTGTGTCTTCGAGATGATCTCAACCCGAATGCGTCGGATTCAGAACCCAAGCGTATCTCCCTCCCTCGCCTCGAAACTCTGCCTCCTTGCCAAACACAGTTGGTAACCAACGTGGCCATGTCCTCCTCTTCCCCCGAGGACGACGAGGACTGCATTCTCGCCGTCAAGTTCGTGGGATCTCAGCTTAGCTTATGTAGACCTGCTCAAAAGGATCCCGAGTGGGTTAACATCAGAATCACCGACCCAGGCTTCTTCCGTTCCCGAGTCATGTATTCAAAGAGAGATAATATGTTCTCCATGCCGAGTTCTGGAGGCATACACACAGGATCTTGGGATCTTGAAAAACACAGGGACAAACCCAAGTTGCGGAAATGGAACTTGCACAACCTTCCTGAGTTTGTGCAGTCAGAATGGGGGGAATTAGATTCGTGTTGCATGGAGGAACAGTTAGTGGAGTCACGAGACACGGGAGATATGTTTATGGTTAAGAGGTTCAGAGAAAGAATCTTTGAGGGTGGGAGGATGGAAGAGAAACGAATAATGGTGTTCAAGCTACAAGAGGAGATGAGATACAATTCTGTTCCAACGTTTTGTGCGTATTACACTGAACACCTTGGAGATCTCTGCATTGTCCTCTCCAAGTCTGAACCTTTCTGCCTCCAGGCTAGCTTGTATGGCCTGTGCCCGAGCAGAGTCCATTTCGTAGACAATAGCGAAAGTGGAATAATGTGTCTTAAGGATCAGAAGTACAAGGCTAGTACTTTTTCCACTTACCGTGTCCCTTACTTCATTCCACCTCAAACTTACCTTTATGCTAATGGGTTTGCATCTCGATCACGATCACGATCAATCAGCTCTGCTCTATTTTGAATGGAAATGGAAAAAGAAGCATTATGTTTCTCTAGTTCAAATAGACAAAACCTTTGCTATGGTGTTAATGTCCCGGATATAGATTGTGGCACGAAAACAACAGACTGTAACTATAGATATCTAAATTATTTGAACGGCTCCGATCTGTAGTTGTCACTCCCACACTCGTATACAAAATCCCTAGAGAAAACTTTCAAGCGAAGCAGAGATCAAATGGCCTCTGACTTGGTTAGTGAAACAAGTTACGGTACTTGTATCATGACGTTTCTTTCCCTTATTGTATTGCACGAAATTGGGCCCTAGTGGTTTCAGAATTGGACCATAAAGCCCATTCGTCGATGTGTTTCCATTTTCTCCAGAAGATTACTTCAACGGCCTCTTCTCACCTCCGTAATTGATGAGGCTTGATAACACATTCCACATGCTCTCAGCTAGTAAATGAAGAAGAAGGTGGAGTTCATAGGTGACGCGTGAGAGACACTCCCTGCCTACATTTTCTCAGACGACTGCTCCATCTAATCTATGGAACAAACCGGTCCTACAAACAAGGAAGCAAATTGCAACGTGGAATTGAGGAAAACGTGAGACATGAAGTGTTTGGTCCTAAAGTGTAGGAAGCAGATCATCATGACTTTGATTATTTGTTGAAACAAAGAAACCAACAATTGAAACATGGACTAAGTCAAACCGGTTAATGAGTTTGGTTTCTTCACTCGGTTTGATCGTTGGTTTAGCACTGAACCAATTATCTGAACCGGTTAATGAGTTTGGTGCATTATCCGTAACAATATTATACATAACCATGTCCAAAATTAGCTGGATGAGGGTATTTTATTCTTGTGCATTCTTATTTTTGCATGACTCCTGATCTCTCGTATATGATAATATCCTTTCAGGTTGAACAATGCTTACGTGTACGTAGTTAGAGTTCCCCTCTTCTATAGCCTCATTTGGTTTTATGCGTCATTTGATTTTGAGACGAGAGTTTTCTCATCCTCTGTTACCAAGAATGGGACAATAACCTGAACAGAATCATCACTTAGACTCTTGTTTGGGTT